CTATGTCAAATTCATCTTGAATGTTCATTATGTCAACTAATTTTTTTTTTGCTGTATTTCTGTCGTTCTGTCAACTGGTCTCACCCCAATGACTCCTGTGTTTCACAGATTGAGTGGCTGCGGGGGAGGGGACATGCTTTTTAGGAGAGTTAAACATGTTTAACTATCCTACTATTAGAAACATTGTGACACCTAGTGAGTTAAGAAACCAGCCTGGAATGACACAGTGGCTCATGTAAGTCACATGACTTTCACTTTCATGCTTTTCTACCTCTTACTATCTTGGCTGTTGCTTTTGCTATCTTGTTCTGGGTTAGCCTAAGGCTGAGGCATGCGTTCGTGTGTATGCGTGTTTCTCCATACGTCAGGGTTCTGGTGGTCCAGTATACACCTTTTCACATTTATTCAAAGACAAGCATATCATGAAATGTCAGATTGGATCCCTTAGGCTAAAGTGACAATGGTTAACTCGAAAGTTATCACTTGTACACCCTCAAGGGTTCACACACGTCTTTGAGAGGCTCTAAAGCTCTTCTATGAGGAGCTGATCTCAGGCACAGGGAAGACAGTACTGGGTCCCTCACCTCCCCAGTCAAGTGTGTTATGACTATGAGAGGGTTCTCCTTGCATTGGAACCCTTTGTCTCATAGTCAGAACGTGGTGTCTGGAATCATGTGTACACTGTGGTGCAACCCTCGCTCACCCGCTTAGTAAGGATGTGTTCCCAAGTCTCTCCTGCTGGGGCTTGAGCATGTGACTGTCAAGAAACTGACTCACTCCCATGTCCTGTCCCAAGAACCCACCCCACACAGTAAGTGACTGTTCAGTCAGTTAGCTGACTAAGGAGCTGCCTATAGCATGCTCAAGAAAAACACATACATAGACCGAACTCACTGGCTGGCCTGGAACTCATTATGTAAGGCAGGCTGGCCTACAATGTCCCGCGCTACCGTCTCGCCAGCAAGAACGACGCAGGACACTCGGATCCTTCTGCAGTAAAGCTTTAATACATCTTGAGAGATAGATGATCAGCTTCTGAGAGGGAGACCCCAAGCTAAGAAACCCAGCCCCTTATATAAGCCTAGGAGCTCCGAGTGAGACGTGTAGAGCCGGGATTGGTGGTTTGCTCATCACCCCAGATGACGGGTGAGGCACAGCTTAAACGGTAAACTCCAACTGACAGCAGATGTCAGCGCCATCTTCTAATGGCGATAGCGATAGTGAGGGCGGCTCCTCACACTACAAGTCCTTAAAATCCTCTTGTACCAGCTTGTGGAGCGCTGAAATTATAGACATGAGCCACCATTCCAGCTTCATCTTTGAAATGAGACTTGTGTAGTAGCTGGTCTATCATTTTTTAAAAAAGGTATTTTGTTTATTAAAGTTTATCTTTTAGGTATTTCACCCATGCTGTATGACATTCAAGGATGCTTTGGCTTTCTTTTAACTTTATTTTTAAACATTTTAAAGGTTTATTTATTTATTATGTGTAGAGTGTTCTGTCTACATGTATTCCTGCACACCAGAAGAGGGCACCAGATCTCATTATAGATGGTTGTGAGCCACCATATGGTTTCTGGAAATTGAACTCAGGACCTCTGGGAGAGCAGCTAGTGCTCTTAACCTCTGAGCCATCTCTGCAGCCCCTTAATGTGTATGGGTGTTTTACCTGCATATAGCTCTGTGGACCATGTGTGTGCAGTACTTACGAGGCTAGGAGAGGGCATTGGATCCCCGAGGGCTGTAGACAGACAGTCATTAGCCACTGTAGTATGGCTGCTGGGAATTGAACCTGGGTCCTCTGGAAGAGCAGTCAGTACTGTTAACCACTGAGCCATTTCTCCAGCCCCAGCTAGTCTCTTTTCTAAGGCATTCAGTCTAATGCACGCAGTGATGCATGCTCCCTTTCTGCTGCATTCGAAACTATATTGTTACTTGGTTGCCATTGGTCTGCTTCTGTTTAATTAGGTGCTGGCCATAGCTTACAAGTTACGTGTTAGATTGTTCCAAGTCCCTGGAAGCTCATCCACTGCCTATCCCAGGACACGGAGAGCAGCTCCAGCTGGAACCCCCAGACTCAAGCAACCCAACACTTTGAAGTACCCCAGCCACCTAGCTTTGAGTCCTGTTGGTCTGGTTTATGGCTAGCATGTCTATGGGGTTGCTTTTTCATTTCCTCTTTCTTTGGAAATAGGATATGGAGTCAGTCTGGTCTGCAGGGTAGCTTTAGCAGCAGTTTCTCAGCCTACTTCCTGAGAGGGAAGTGCTTTGGGGTACACATCTGCATGAGAGGGGGGCCCACTGTCAGCTCACGGTGGGATCTGGTCTCAGCTCTGGTTTCTTGGTCCCCTTTCAGGAAACCACGCACCTACAAAGTCCCAGAGTGCATGAGTGGCGGTTGGTGACAGCTGTAGACAGGTGGTGAGATTACCCCAGGAGCTCTCTACTGTTAGACCCTCCAGTCTTTGCAGGCTCTTCCCCAGCCACCTTTCTGTAGCATGTAGCATGGACCTTCCGGTAGGAACCGTTTCCTCCTCTCTCTGTGTACTGGCTGGCTTTGTGACACAGCTAGAGTCATCAGAGGGAAAGGAACATCAGTTGAGGAAATGCCTCCATGAGATTCAGCTGCAGGGTACTTTCTCAATTAGTGACCAATGGGGGAGGGCCATGCCCTGTGGGTGGGGCCGTCCCTGGGCTGGTGGTCCTGGGTTCTATAAGAAAGCAGTCTGAGGAAGCCAGGAAATGCAAGCCAGTAAGCAGCTCCCCTCCATGGCCTCTGCATCAGCTCCTGCCTCTAGGTTCCTGCCCTGTTTGGATTCCTGGCCCGACTTCCTTCAGTGGTGAACAGCAATGTGAAACTGTAAGCCAGATGAACACTCTTGCTCTGTGGTTGTGGTTTTTCCTCACAGCAACAGAAACCATAGCTAAGACACTCTGTCTTCTTTCTCCCTTCATTTTCTTTTCCCTCCATCTTCCTATGCCTTCCTTCCTTCCTTCGTTCCTTTCTTCTTCCTCCATTTCTTACCTCCTTTTTTATTTCTGGCAGGATGGTTCTAGCTAGCCTAATGTACCAATCTTAGGAACGAAATTTTAAAAAGAAAGGGAAAAGAAAATCAATTTAGAAAGAGCAAGCCAGAGCCAGGGCTGGCGCAGTATGTAAAGGCGGTTGCTGTGGAAGATGGCGGCCTGAGTTCAGTCCCACGGAGAGGTGAGGCAGATGGACAGCATGGGCTCCATTAAGCTCTCCCCTGCTCTCCCACAGACGCTGTGATGTGTCGCCCTGCCTGGTCATGCCTTTCAGCTTCTTCTAAAGTTGTTATTCCAGGTAGATAGCACAGATCATAGACCTGCAAGACATTGTTAAGTAGCCTCTATAAGAGGATCCCCAGTAAGTTCCCCCAAGAAATCTGTAACTTGAGCAATCCTGGCCCGGCAGCACTAACTCATGAAGACATTCCCTACTCAAGCCGACACAAGCTCCCTGGACTCAAGTTTGATCTCAAGGTCTTGAGATAGACAGCTTCAGAGACAGTTGGAGCCCGGAACTCTGGTGTTGGGGGATATTTGTTTACACTGTGTGAAGATGCGTCGCTGTGATTGGTTTAATAAAGAGCTGAATGGTCATAGCTAATCAGGAGAGAATAGGCGGGGCTTAAGGGGAAGAGAGGAGCTTGGATGAATGTAGGCATGTGCGGGGGATGCCAGCAAGACACGGAGCAAGTTGGACACGCAAAACAGAGGAAAGTTAAGAAGGCAAGTGGCAGAGCATAGGTTAATGTGAGCTGGCTGGGGACAAGCGTAAGCTAAGGCCCGGGCTTTCGTAACTAATAATATGTCTCCATGGCATTACTCGGGGCCTGTGAACAAAAAGAAAGTCCTTCTGCACTCTGGCATCATTATTAAACTTGGAGACCGTCTCCTCTAACTTCCTGGGTGAGCTCCAGCCTCCAGAAGCTCTCACCTTGGATTGCCAAACTTACAGCCACAGCCCATTCTTTTAGTTTATGATCTCTGATCTTGTTGACTCTGCTCCAACAGTAGTTTATCGCAATAGTCCTATTATAATCATACTGATTACACGTTACTTTACACATTGTTCTACTATGCTATATAGGTAATATTGTGCTATACATGTTCTATGCTATATTAACTGTTAGTAACGTTCATGCTTTAGCATCAATAATTTCTATACCCTCAGCATATTTTGCACTCCTCAGTTTGGAGACTCAACTAAAAGACATGTGGCCCCTCAGTTATGGTTACAATTTTGTAACCTCATGTCACTGGTTGTCTCTGGCCTTGGTGAATCACATGCCTAGCCATGAGTTTGGAGTCGATGAACCAAGTTCACAAAAATATACCTGGATGTAAACAGAGAGCTGCTATTCTAGCTTTCTCAAGCTGTTACGTTTTGGAATTAAATGTTTGTTCTTTGGCAATTTCATGCATGTGTATAATGTGTTACTCCCATATCCACCCCACCCCCAGGCCCCCAATCTTTTCTGGGATCTTGTAATCACTGATATTTATCCATAAGTGGGGGACATAATCCTTCTCAAATTTATAGAATAAAGATTCTCTAATTCCTTAGCAATTTAATGCTGTTGATCTATATCAAGCGTCAACCATTTCAAACCCAAGGTGTCACGATAGATTCCCACCTGGTTTTTATTGTAACAGCTCACACAAAGAGAAACTCTCACACTTTCCCACACTCTACCTCACCCTTCCATGCACACACTCCCTCCTCACTCCTTAGGAACAGGAGGTACTGTATGTTAAGACGCAGGAAATGACAGGCAAAGCTTTTGACTCTGATAGTAGGCGTTTCGAGTGAGACAGGTGGTCGGATACAAAGGCAGGTGACCGAGGAGTGGAGCCCTCTTCTGGGTTTCCAGAGGCAGGAGGTTCACTGCTCTGAGAGCTCTGCATCTGTGGAACCAGGCGAAAGTGTGTGGGCAGGCTGCTGCGGGGTACTTAAAAACTCTCTTCTGTGGCAGGAGTGCCATGGCCTCTCCTGATTCTGAGGTGAAGGAAGAGCGACTCAGGGAAGACCTCAAGTTCTACTTCATGAACCCCTGTGAGAAATACCGAGCCAGGCACCAGATCCCGTGGAAGCTGGGCTTGCAGATCCTGAAGATAGCCATGGTAACCACGCAGGTAACTCACACAACTACTCCTTCCTTCCCCTGAGATCAAGGTGTTTCCAAGTGTCCTGCTCGCTTATCTGCAAAACTGACACTCAAGTTCAGGAGGCTAAAATTAAGTCACCGCCAGAGGGCAGGGGGCAGGGTGAAGTTCAGTTCAGATGAGCTGGTTTGTGGCTGGCCTTGCTTTCTGAACCCCTAGGCAAGCTTTATTACACCATAAATAATATTATCACCACAGGTGATAACATGGTGACTAATTGCTTTTAATTATTCAGTCTGTACAAATAAACTAAGCGCATTCCCATATTCAACACTAATTGGATTCGGTGGGTTCAAATGAAAGAAAGGACAACATATTAGCTCAGTGGGTAAAGTGCCCATGTTAACTCCATTGACCAGGGCTGGGATTCCAAATGCCCATGTTAACTCCATTGACCAGGGCTCGCATTCCAAATGCCCATGTTAACTCCATTGACCAGGGCTCAGATTCCAAATGCCCATGTTAACTCCATTGACCAGGGCTCGCATTCCAAATGCCCATGTGTAACTCCATTGACCAGGGCTCGCATTCCAAATCCCCATGTTAACTCCATTGACCAGGGCACGGATTCCAAATGCTCATGTTAACTCCATTGACCAGGGCTCACATTCCAAATGCTCATGTAAAGGCCAGCATAGAAGCGTGTCTGTAACCTCTCTGCTGTGGGGAGTAGAGACAAGGGTTTCTCAGATCAAGCTGGCTAGCTAGACTAACTGAACTGCAAGCTCTGGGTTCAAGTGAAAGACTCTAATAGAAGGTGGAGAATGATCGAGAAAGACCCCCAATGTTAACCTCCAGGTCTCCACACACACATAAATGCACATACACGCGTGTTAACATGCATACGAACATGCGCACACAGGAAGACATACTAAAAACCCAGCCAGGCAAAATACAAAAATTAAGACTGTAAACCACTAGGAAGTCCTTATGTGGAATTTCATTAACCTCAGCATCTGAGCCGTTTGATTTGTACACTGTTGTGTGTTTATGTAGCATTCTGAGTAACAGGATATTACAGAACTGTCAGGGCCACTCCATCCACTCTCCTGGTTTCACACATGAGGAACAGGTCAAGGTTCCATGATGATTTAATGGGGAGAGCACTCGGAGGAAACATTCCAGATTTGTAAGACAGCTTAGGGACGTGGGAGAGGCGTGTGAGATGAGCTTGCTGGGATTGCCTCTACCACAGCTGCCTCTGTGTGAGTGTGTGTGTGTGTGTGTGTGTGGCTTTGAATGAAAGTGTGCTGTGTGTGACAGGGTTGGGGTGACAGCATTCACTGCAGGCATGTATGCATGTGAAGGGGGAATCATGCCTGTGTTACAGTGTGTGCACGGGCATATCATGGGCAGCTTCCTGGTTCCTTATAGACCTTTGGTGCTAGCTGTTATGGAGTCTAAGAGGAAAACTATTGCTCTTGGTAAAGAGAACCCTGTGAGTATTTAACTGGATGTCAATAAAAAGATGGTTTGGGGCAGGGGCTGTTGAGAAAGGGTCTCATTATATAACCTGGCTGGCCTTGAGCTCATGGCAATCCTCCTCAATGTTGGTTTTCCAGGAGCGGTCACTATGCCCACCAGTAAGTGGTTTGTAAGGGAGCAGACATCCTAAAGGATAGAAAACACCCAGGACCAAAGTCCTGGTACTGTGTCAACTGTCTTTTCTGTGAGTCATCCGTTCTTCGCTGCTTGATGAGACAGAAGCACGCGGCAGTTCCTGTCTCTCTGAGGGCACTTCTGTCAGGTTAAGGAGCCCCAGAGAAAGTCTCAGGAGAGACAGGGTGGGAGAAGCCTTAAGGTCCGGTGTGTCCCAGCCCCCTTCTTTGGGGTGTTTTCTGAGTATCAACATGCTCTTATGCTAAGAGTGGCTGATGCAGTGCATTGAGATGACTCTTTCATGTTCTTACTGTGTAAATCAAGGAGCGGATATTTTTTTCAGATGCTTAGAGGTGAGAATTGCTAAGAGTCAAAAGCCATTTTCTTTCTCCGGGGATATGGTAACAGCCACGTTCCTGTGTTTTCTTTTGTAGCTTGTTCGGTTTGGCTTAGGCAACCAGTTGGTGGTGGCTTTCAGAGAAGATAACGCTCTCACCTTTAAGCACCTGTTTTTGAAAGGCTTTTCTGGCGTTGATGAGGACGACTACAGCTGTAGCGTGTACACGCAAGACGACGCCTATGAGAGCATCTTCTTTGCTGTAAAGCAGGCAAGTGTTTAAATGGCCCCTTTTAAAGACTACATTGCTGTGTGGCTGCGTTGTCTTAACAAACCAACAAATACTGTCTCATGTAAATTTTGCATGGCTTGCCCACATTTTTACTACTACTTCAGGCACTAATAATAGAACTTACCCATTTAAAAATTTCCTCTAGGTTTTAGTCTTTTCAGTTTATTGACTTAGAACCACTACTTTGGGGGAGAGTATCCCAGAATAGTTAAGAGATTATAAAATCAGATTTTGCGAAGGTTTGAACCACAATCTGAGAGTGTGTCGTGGTCTCAGATTTGATGTCATGAGCATTAATAATCCTAGCTGAATATTAAGGATATGGGATATGATACAGAGTGAGAGTGGCAGATTTGAAGAAAGCGTTTGGGGTAGTGTTTTTTTTTTTTGTTTGTTTGCTTTTGTTTTCCCTTTCATTAATTCAACAAATATTTAAGTCCCTGGTATTTGGCAAGTTCTACACATTGATGCTGTAGCAGTGAGTAAAACAGATAAAATTCTGGCCTTTCTAGAAGGGAGAGCTAGAGAAATGAAGAGAAGTGAGATTCACAGTATTGAAGGCTAGCTCCTTAATGACAGAATACCCCCCAAAACACGCTACTAAGCACAGCTGAGTTACTTGTTGGCAGCAATAAGGAAGAAATCCCTTTGACCATTCTCAGTGATGCCTTGGGTGGGGTGGGAGTCCTTCCTTTTGAAGGGGCTTTGATTAGACTTGGGTGAAGACCACGCAGCAATTGTTTAAAAGTGGTGGACAGGACATTTGATGGCTAGAGGAGAAGTCACGGGTTCCTGGAATTGTAAGACTAAATCTCTACTCTTAGCCAAGTTAGTAAGGATTTGTTTTGCTTATTTTTTGAGCCCTGGCTGGCCTGAAACTTGCTATGTAGACCAGGCTGGTCTTGAACTCATAGAGATCAGTTTTGCCTCTATGCAAAGTGCTGGGATTAAAGGCCCATGCCTCCACGCTCAGCTTTTTTTGTTTTTAATATTCTCGAAATGATTAGTAGTTATTTGCAACATTCCTGTAAGAGTGTAAATGCTTTGTAGTAAGTCACAGCAATGAAGTCGTAGGTTAGTGAAGTCCCATTAGTGAAAGGAGTCAGATTCAGAATTGTGTGAATGTAAGAGCGTGTTAGCTGTGTCAGTGTGAGCTGTGGATGGTTTAGGTCCCCAGTGAGGCAAGGAAGGAGATGGGGAATTTGGGTAGGAGATGGATGTTACACTTTCCTACAGTTTTGAATTTTTTTTATTTTTGTCATTTTAACTAACATATAATTAATTGTGTTATGGCGATGTGGTACAAAGTGAGGTTTTGGTATTTGTTTGCAATTTTCATTAGCCAAATGAGTGAACACCTTGTTGTAGTGGAGGTGTTTGGTCAAGACCTGAAGGAGTGAATGGAGTAGACAGAACTGGAATTCCAGGAAGAGGAAACTAAAAGACCAGAGGTAGAAGTATGTCTGCCAAGTTTTGGCGACTTCCTGGAGGCCGTTTGTCTTTACAGGGTAGAGCCAAGGGACCTCAGTGTGAGGTAAAGTCTGAGAGGCGAGTGAGACCGTGGTTTTGGCTGGGAAGAAGTCAGGAGTGTCCCTCGGGATATTGCTTCGGTGTAGCGTTCGAGGAGGCAATGTGTCCATTCAAACGAAGAAAATGACTTTGGGCTGTGTTGAACTGGACACTGCTCCCCAAAAAGCATTGTATACGCCATAAAAGTAGCTAAAATTGCATTCCATGTGGTACGGCTTATGGTTTTTAAGAACTTGACTTTAGTTTAACTGTGTGTTTTTTGTTTTGTTTTGTTTTAACAGTATCATCATCTAAAGAACATTTCCCTGGCCAACATTGGTTATGGAGAAAATGGAGACAACAGAACTGGCTTGAAATTCTGTAAGCAGCATTACAAGACAGGTGCCACGCTTTCTTCAAATGAGACCCTCAATATTGACAGTGACATTGAGACAGGTAACAACAGTGACCGTTTCATCGGGTGGCTTTGTCGTTTTTCTGTGGTGAGCAAAATGGCTCCCATGCCATGCGCTAGCAGCTGAGCGGAACCGGGTGGAGCCGGCTCCCAGCCAGCAGAGGCTGTGGCTCCCACAGTTGCCTGGGAAGGTTTCTGCTCAGGAAGTCCCGTGTTCCTAGTGATGGGGAGGGAGCACTGCTTAGCTCTGCCTCTGTGATACATCTTAAAACTCTGCAGTATGTGTTCTTAACAAGTGTTGGGACCAAGGGTGTGCACTGCCATACCCATACCCACTCTATTGTTTACAAAGTATACGGCGTTCTTCAAAGGTGAGTTGAGGTTAATGATTGTTATTCTCTCAGGAGACCACTTGACAAAAACTTCCCACCGAGCCACGCAGTCACTTTGGGCCATTCTGTTAATAATGTAAAAGTGTGTGCTTCAAGACTTTGGGTTTTGCTATTGAGTCAACAGACCCAGGGCACTCACCGTTTGCTTCCTGACATGGGGTTGCCAAAGCCAACCCATTTTGGCTTTTAAGTACCAGGCAGTGGGGTAGGCTTTAGTTAAATGGTGACATCTCAAAGACTGTTTAGCCCTATTTCGTATTCTGATGTTGAGGTGTTTTGGTAACACACGTGGACCCCCCACAGGGCAGGAATTTTACCTGCTTCTTTGAGCTGACTGTTCATAAGCCATGCTTGAGCAAATGTGCCCTGGGCTCTGGGTCCTGGAAGAAGTGGTCAATGGGTTACACTGGCCCAGGCAGTGTCTGGCTTCCAGGCTGCTATTAAGGACCATCCTGGGGCCAATTGTTTGGTAATTTAACCACCACCACAGAAATGTTCCTGGTCTTCCCGTGTGGTGGCTTTTGCTCACCTGAGACCTGTTGGTAGTTATATGACTTTCCCTAGGGAAATGTGAACAAGTGTGTGTTTGATGCAGATAGGACACCGATGACAGACCAAAGAGCTGATTCCACACACAGTCCCTAGTGAACCGATGAGTTGGTTGGGGTTGTGTACAGGAGTGTGGGTGACTTAAATGCAGCTTTCTATGGAAAGCCCACCCAGAGCGGGTGACGACTTTCAAAAGCTGCATCCCACATCCCATGGGGCCCCTCGGCCACTAAGAGATCACGTGACCCAGCAAGAGTTCACTGCTTTTGTGACTTCGGAGAGGGCTCCTCGGATCTTGTGGCCCTCAGTGGTTCCTGAGCCCCGTCAGTCTCCTTAGCTTTCTGAGTCATAGCCGCCCTCACCCTCAGTGCCCACGTCCTTGAGGGAATGCTCAAGGCCAGAGGGAATAGCTACCCAATAGGCAGTCAGGGCTCACTTGCGATCTCTTACATGGGAGCTCACCCAAGCCTCATGATGCAGACAGTTCCTCTGACTGACTGTAGCCATTTCTTTAAGAAATGTGGTCTGTGTCAGTGCCTAGGGAAGGTGGACAGGGCTAACATGCAAGGTTTATTTATTTCCCGACTGTTGTATAGTGGTGGCGCTGTTCATTTCCTTCCTGAGGGTATATGGGACATTTTAGAGGGAATGGAGAGAGGTAGCCTATTAATCTGAGTTTAGGAGAGACTGCTAAGTGCACTCATTGCCTCATTGCAACCGTCAAAGAGAATCTGTAAGCGTTCTGAAAAGGCATAAAGGTTTTTTTTTTAAAAGAAATTGATTCTTGATTTTGTGGTTTATATCAGAGAACATCTGCTAATGAGGTAATTGTGGATTGATTTTTTTTTTGTGGTGGGTCACATTTGACTGCCTTGGGATGTGGTTGTAGGCTAAGTAGAAGGCTTGGTAGATGCTGTACTGTCTTAGCTACTTGTAAGTGTGGCATTTCCTTTGCTATGTAGGAAACCATCCTTCAGGTTTCAAATGCAGACAATCGCCCATGTGGCCAGCCACCTAGTGGGCTGCAGCTCAAGCTACCAAACTGCTTGTGTAGATCAAGTCGACTTTAGTTTTTGTTTATTCTTATGGACAGGACTCCCTCTTCTGCCTAAAAAGCATGTGTCTTTACCATTCTGCCTTACCGTTGTGAATCCTGTAAATAAAATTCCCTAACAAGTAAGTGGCCATCATTTTAATACAGCTTAAATGTTCCTTATCCAATATACTTGGGACCAGGAATGTTTTGGATTTGGGGTGAGGGTGTGTGTGTGTGTGTGTGTGTGTGTCTGTCTGTCTGTCTGTCTGTCTGTCTGTCTGTCTGTCTGAGAGTCTGTATGTTTTTTGTGTGTATATGTGTGTGCGTGTGTGTCTGAGTGTATGTTTTTTGTGTGTATATCTGTGTGCGCGTGTGTATGTGTGTGTCTGTATGTGCACACGCATGCACTTGTACCGTAGTGCATGTATGGAGGTCAGGGGACAAATTGTGGTGTGTTCCCTCCTTCCACGTGGGTTCAGGGAGTGAACACAGGTCATCAGGCTTGGCAGCAAGCCCCTTTATCCCCTGAGCCAGCTCATCATCCCTAGGTTAGGTTTGTCTTTCCAAACGTCCTCAGCATAAGACACGAGGACTGCTTCACCACATTCCTGGATCTTTAAGGAGAAGTCTAACCTATGACCCTCTGAGGAGTTCGCTATCTTCTGGGAAACCCTGTAAGGAAGAAAATGACACTGTTGTTCTCAATATCTGCTAATCCTGCTGCAGTTTGATGCCTTCCTTGGGGCTTTTTAAGACATTGATTTTGCTACTATCAGGTGCTTAATGGCTTCAATATCACTGACTATGGTGTGAAGCCAGAATATTTCAGAGACTTCTGAATAGGCAATGAGCTGACATGTAGCTTTGGAATCACAAAGTAAGAGAAAATTTGAAGAATCAAGCAGACTTTTACAAGGCAGATTTACACACAGTATTAATTAGCTTACAGACTTCGATCATGCTTCTTTGACTCTAAGATTCTATTAATTTATAGGAAGACTGCACACTGTTTATCAATGTATGCTTAGTATCCTATGTATTGTGTCGAAGGCTAGCCCACCAGGTGAGCTGTGCGCCATGTTGTGACTAGCTGATACTTTCTGGCAGACGTCTTGAGACGTTCCAAGGGCCCTGCTTCTCATCACGTGGATGGTGTACTCATTGCAGCGCCAGATTCTTGCAGAAATGACCATTCCTTGTCTGTCTGTTGCTCTAGACTGCACTCACCTAGACCTCGAGGTGCTCGACAGGGAACCCGAGGGCTGGATGCAGGCCCCGTTCTTCAGGCTGGATTTCTACCGGTAAACGCAGCATCAAGTCTCAGTCCCCGGGAGAGGAGGCCTGGGCGGGGGTAGGAGTGGGGTTGGGCAGTACTGTGGCGAGGCTGACACTTGTGCCTCTTGCTGTATTGTATTTAGGCTTGTGCAAGTTGATATCTCCTTTGCCCTCAGAGGAATTGACCTCCAGGCAATCCATTCCCGAGAGGTACCAGACTGTTACAGCTTCCAGAACACGGCAAGTGTCTTTGCTGCCCACCAGCCTCTGTCTGTTTTGTTCCCCGTGGCTTTTGTAGAACAGGATGAACAACCACAGCCCACAGACATTGGAGCAGCCTTAGTGACGGTGTGGTCTCATCTAGACACTGTTTCATGTGAAGGCCAGCCTTTTCCAGCTCCCTGAAACTGCATTCCCGGACTGGGAAGGTGGCTCCGGATCTAAAGCATGAGGACCTGAGTTCAGGGCACCCACAGAAACCCATCGCCCCTTACACTGTACTTCTCAGCACTAAAAGAAAACTGTAAAAGAATCCTCCCTGTTAGCGTCAACTGTCAGCCTGACACAGCCCACGGTGATCTGAGTGTCCACTAGAGGGCTACCCAGATCCGACTGGCCAGTCAGTATCTCAGTGGAGCGCTTCTTGGCTTCAGGCTGACATAGGTAGAAGAGCTCATCCCAGGGAGCACACTGCCATCCTGGGCAGGCGGTCCTGGGCTGAAGCAGAAAGCAGGCCGAGTGAAGGTTGTAAACAGCCTCCTTCCTCTGTGGTGAATCCTTTACCTCCTGCTGTGACTCCTCTCTTGGTGGAGTGAGACCTGGAACTGTAAGCTGAAATGTCCTCGGGCTGCTTAAGTGAGACCTGGAACTGTAAGCTGAAATGTCCTCGGGCTGCTTAAGGTCGCGTTTTATCACAGCGACAGCAGCTAGGCCAGACCCCACACTGGTGTGATCTCTGTGTCCTCATTCCAACTGGACGCTGCTAACTTTCATAAGTAGTTGAGCTAATAACTCCCACCTCCCGCTGGGCTATAACCTCTCCATTTCTGTCTCCAGATTACCTTCGACAACACAGCGCACAGCGGAAAAATCAAAATCTATTTTAACAGTGAGGCCAACATAGAAGAATGTAAAGCCATGAACATATCTGGGTCTAGTAAGTGCTGTGCAACCGGCCCTTTGTGTGCTCCGAGCTGTGGTTGGTGGTGGTGGGAAGAAAGTTCCATAAAAACAAGGCTCAAACACGAGCCTGGAGACGTCTGTCCAAGTCAACAAGGGCTTATTGCATCTCTGGAGGACTTAGCATGAGACGGTGGCTTAGATCAGCTCCTGCAGCCAGGTGGCCTGGGTTTCAATCTGGTTCTGTTTGCCATCGGCCTCTCTGCCTTAGAATTCTCAACAGAGCAAGAGCAGTGACTGTATTTGTTGACAGTGTCGCACTCTGTGCTGAGAATGGGGGTCCTCAGAGTTGCTTGGCTCTAACAGAGGAGGAAAAGCCTTAGTGAGGGAGACTGATGTGACCAGATCTCTGGTGCATTATGGGTAGGGGTAGCCACAGAAGTATGAGAGGTCTGAGGAAGAAGGTAAGTGACAGATTTGACCAGGGCTGACAGGGAATCATAAAATGGTTCTTGGAGAAGGTGTGTTTTGATCCAAGCCTTGGACAACAGAGAAGAGACCCCAGAGTGCAGATAGCAGCCCGAATAAACATGGGGACATTTCCTCAGTCACCTCATGGTCCATATGCTTAAGATGGCCTTGGTGCACTAGGTGTGGGGTCACAGACCTGCAAGCCCAGCTCTATGGAGGAAGGCACGGGGAGATTTCAAGTTCAAGGCCAGCCTAGGTTACACGGGGTAACCTAGAGGAGGAAAGCCTAGGCTAGGTGCATCCCGTTTGTCCAGTGGTCAGGGCGCTGTCTCTGAAAGATGGTTAGCATTGCGACTGGCAAGCATTGTTTAAATGAACCCCCCTTTGAGCAGGTGACCAGAAAGATTATAAAATACGAGACACGTGATTTCTATGCTAATCGTGGCCCATTACTTTCCAGTTGTACAGTGACTGATGATTCTGAAGTTTCCTTTTTCTAGCTTGGGTTTCCATTGTTCCTAAAGGAAACATGCAGTTTGAGTTCTGATAAGTGGTTTCCTAAGCCACAGCAGATACTCTGTCACTCACAGAGCACCACCAAGTCCAAGTAAAGGCTGGAGCTGTGTCCTGGGGGGAAAAATCACCTGTGTCATATTTAAAACGTGATTTTCAGTAGTCACCACGAGGATCAAAGTGTGTCACAGAGGTCCCCAGACCATGGCTCCTTCTTAGACATTGGGGCTCCCCGACCCCTGTGCACAGACAGGAGGAGCTCTACCTCCCCCTTGTGGCCGACAGAGAGAAGCACATGTCACACAGACCGGAGTGGGAAAAAACAGCTAAAATGTGCTATTCTCTCCAGAAACTCCACCTCATCACCAGGAAAACATTCATTTAGGATAAAGTGAAGGGTTGTGAGATCGTTAGAAAGCTGAGGTTTAGGAACCAGTTTAGGAGATGGCGTACGCCCCCTCTTTCGTTTGAAGCTGGGCGGTGGATTAAGGAGCCCTGCCCGAGGACAGGGACAGAGGGGACATCTGATGACTCTGGCTGCTATTTCCTACACGCTCTGATCCTCCCTCCCACTGCTCAGCATCTGGGCCGCTCCCTTCCCCTGTGGTTATCCACATTTACCCACGTCTCCTGCAAGCGCAGGCAGCGCGCCCTTCCACAGGTGGCCCTCATCGGCTTCCTGATGACTGGCTCCCCCAGTGTGTCTGGTCTCGTCAATTTGAGTTTACAAGGCGGCTTGGGAAGAGCTGGTGGGCAGGGCCCCCTGCTGATGGGGATGTGGTAGCATTTACCTGTTGCTGGGCAGGAGTTAGTAAATTTGGATAGCCTGAGCCAGTGTCCCACAGGCAGACAGTGGCAGGGTGTCTATACCGCATCAGGTGTTGGGGTGGTGGGATGGGTAGGGTGTGGGACTTCCCTCGCTAGTCAGGGTAGCAGTGCGTATTTCTGAGCCAGTGTTTTCCAGACTCGGGCTTGGAAGCTGTTGCTACAAGGCAAAAAAAGTTTCGGTGCACCGCGAAGCCCCTGAGCAGAACTGGGGCTTCCCGGTGTGGCGTTTTAATTTGCTTTCTCATTAGTCAGGCAAACTTGCCGTCTGTCTCCTCACGTGAGGTGACTTAGGCCATATTGGCACTTTCACACCTTTTGAGTGGAGCGTAAATGTTGACTTCTGCCTTAGAGTAAATATTTATAAGGAATTTTAGCTCTCTGACTAACATTGCCTACATTTGTAAATTCTTGACCCTCCAGGGACTTCTGAATGAATGCAGTATGATTTTGCTTCTGATAGTTACTTTTTTGTTTTGTTTTTACGAGACAGGGTTCCTCTGTATTGTTTCGGAGGCTATCGGTCTAGCCCGGCCTCGAACTCACAGAGATCCGTCTGCCTCTGCCTCCCGAGTGCTGGGATTAGATAGTTACTGTTTTAACAACAGATAAATTAATTTTTCTTGGGATTTCCCTTCAGACTGCCACTTGCTGGGAAATTTGTGCAAGGACGGACTTAACCTTTGCACTCCTGTTCTGCAGTCCAGAGAAGCACCCACTATGTGCTGGTGTTTGACGTTCTTGTCATCATGGTCTGCCTGGCGTCCCTCGTCCTGTGCACCCGGTCCATTGTTCTTGCTCTGAGGCTGAGAAAGGTAAGCACGGCCCTTCCGCTCTCCCTCCACTCTCGGTGTGCAGACGGCGAGTGCCCACATCATGGGGTCTTCCCACGCTGGGCTAGGACGCCCTTTCTCCATTCCCTTCCATCACCACCCAGAGGTACAGGAAATAAGAAGAGGCCCCGGGACTAGTGTGATGGGCCCGTTGGCAAAGTGCTTGCCACACAAGCATGAGGATCTGAGATTGATTCCCAGCACACACATAAAAAAGCCGGACAGGACCACATATGCCTATAACCCCAGCCCTGGGGCGGTGGGAACGGCAGGATCCTTGGGTATTGCTGGCCAGGCAGTGTGACGGGATCAGTGAGCTCCAGTGTCAGTGAGAGACACTGTTTAAAACAAATAAGGTGGGGAATTGTTGAAGAAGACACCTGCCTCCCACATGTATGTGCACATATATACACATGCATGTCAACAGCACATATACATGCATCAAAACTTTAAAAGGAAGGAAAGGTTTAAGTTCTTTCAGGAGCTCCGATCATTATTCTGCCTGAAATTGAGCTAACAAGTACAAGTATTTGTGGTAAGCTGCCATGCATTTAGAAGCTTCCAGAATAAAATTTTAATTTCCAGGGTGATCTTAGAGCATGCGTGGGTTCCGTCTTGTCAAGCCGGAGTTCACTTTGACACGAGGTCACAGTAAATGGGTGATAATGAAGCATGACATGCTTGGGTTTGGTTTCTGAGGTAGGTCCATCGTACCTTCTACCTCTTCCAGTATGGATTCTCAGGAGCGTGCACTGGAGCTCACCGCGTGCCTTACTCTGGCTTGAGGCGTGAGTGTAGGTTCCTGCTGGGGCCAGGGGGAGCAAGAAGACACAGGAATACCATCTTCAGAGCAGGAAATAGCCCATGGTCTATTTTCTTTGATCTTGACTTCCATGTTGGTTTTAAATTTTTTTGAATTTATTATTTTGTGTGTATGAGTGTTCTGCATGTGCACACATATGCTTCTCTGAGGCCAGGAGCAGGCATCAGATCTCCTGGGACTGGAGTTACAGACAGTTGTGAGCTGCCATGTAGGTGTTGGGAATTGAACCCAGGACCTCTGGAAGAACAGCCAGTCCTCTTGAATGCTGAGACATGTCCCCAGCCCCTTGACTTTCACTTTGTAAATGTGTACTCCATATCTGCCTTCCAACCCTGTAGATATTCCGAATCCAAGGTTGAGGTCTCTCTCTGCCAAGCGCAGGTATAGCATTGGGAACACAGTGCTCATATCTGGGCTACAAGAGAATCCCAGTTCGAAGGGTTCCCATCAGTTGGTTCGAATGAGACCATGATATGCCGTGTTTGGGACACACTCTGGGAGCGACAGCACATGTACTTAGTGTTGGGTTAATGTAACAGACATCTAAAAGCTCGCTTACCTTGGAGTAGACAACGTGGCTTCCTGCGCGGCCTTGTGTCTCTCTGTGAGGTAGATCTGCCATCCTGGAACTGTTTGCTCTTGTCTTCTGCCTCCAGAGGGCAGTGCGATTTGTAAGAAATGCCTTTTGAATGTTTGCGGTAGAGGTTTCTAAACTTCTTCCTGGAGAAGTACATGCGACGTGTGTGCGACACTGACCAGTGGGAGTTCATCAATGGATGGTACGTCCTGGTCATCACCAGCGACCTCATGACGGTAACTGGATCCATACTAAAGATGGAGATCAAGGCCAAGGTGAGCGGCACACCATCCAGGGTTTTGTATCGCTTGGCGTTACGAGATACAGAATGCTTGCGGAGACTAGCTCGATTCTTGTGTTTTCTCTTTGACGTCACCTGTGGCTTGAAGCTGCCTCTCACTCTTCCTCAGGAAGCGTGTGCACTGTGGAAGGTGGCGTCTGTGGCCTCCCTCCAGGCATGTGTAGTCGTGTCTTTAGAGCAGGAATTGAAGTTTGGGAAGACTGAGGGTTTCCTTTGCATTATTATTATTATTATTACTAATTTATCTATTTACTTGTGTGACTTACAAGGGAAGCAGCTGGCACACTGATCAGTCACCTCTCTTGAACATATCTGAAGAGGCAGTGGCAGGTGTGTGTGTGTGTGTGTGTATGTATGTGTGTGTGTGTGTATGTGTGTGTATGTATGTGTGTATGTGTATTTATGTGTGTGTATGTATGTTTATGTATGTGTATATGTGTGTGTATGTATGTGTGTATGTGTGTATGTATATGTGTGTATGTGTGTGTATGTATGTGTGTGTATGTGTGTGTATGTATGTGTGTGTATGTGTGTATATGTGTGTATGTGTGTGTATGTATGTGTGTGTATGTGTGTATGTATGTGTGTATGTGTGTATGTATATGTGTATGTGTGTATGTGTGTATGTATGTGTGTGTATGTGTGTATGTATGTGTGTATGTGTGTGTATGTGTGTATGTATATGTGTATGTGTGTATGTGTGTGTATGTGTGTGTATGTGTGTGTATTTGTGTGTATGTGTGTGTGTGTGTGTGTGTGTGTGATGCCGTGCACCCTGACAGCTGAGGGAGGAACGAGGAGTGCTTGCGTGTCTACAGAGTCTGACTGGTTGTTGGTGCTAGTTAGCTGGTTTGCTGTCACAGTTGGACTCCGCCTGCTCTGTTTAACTGTCTCTCCTGTGCACTGTCAGTCTTACAGAGCTGCCCTCCTCGTGGCTACAGTGCCTCCTGCCCCTCTTGTCTCCATCCCAGCTATCCCAGCTTCTCTCAGGCTGACCTCCTCTCGGGCCTGGACTGCCTCAGCAGCCTTCTTGTTGGTTCTGCCTTTTGTCTTATATCCCACCGATCCAGCTGTACAGTGGTTGGGCACGCTTCCTGGAAACACGCAGCTTGCTGTGACAGTCCTTCCTGTCTCCCAGGATCTACTTAGGATGAAGAGACCTCCTGTCATTATGGCCTCTGAGGGTCCCCTCACTGTCTCTGGCTCCCATCCTGGCTCCTGCTCCTTTCCACATGCCAGACTCAGCCCTGGTGACATTCAGCCTCTGTCCGATAGCCTGTAGACTTCTCTCCAGTCTGTGCTGGGTCTCCAGTTTAGCTTGGGGCATGCCCCATTGGAGGGCCTCTGTGAAAAGTGACCACTGTGTCTTCCATGAAATTAGTAGCGTATTGTATTAGAACTGTGTTTATTGTCTGTCTCTTCAATGAAGCCTAGAAGCCTAGAACCTCTTGAGAGTAGGAACTATGTTGGCTAATAACACTGGATTTTCTCCCAAAAGTGTCTGGGCTGTGTTATTTGATATTTGACAAACACCATGCTCTTTCATGCCTAGGCCAGTGGTAAATGCAAGTCCCATTTCACAATGATATTTGGAAAAGAAATAAGTTCACAATTAAAATACTGAAAGAAAATAAAAACCAAACATTTAGTTTTCCTTTGCTTCCTTCCCCTCCCCTCCCCTCTCCTCTTCTTCTCCTCCTCCTCCCCCTCCCCTCTCCTCCTCCCCCTCCTCCCCCCTCTCCCCTCCTCCTCCTACCCCCTCTCCCCCTCCCCCTCCTCCTCCCCCTCCCCCTCCTCCTCCGTATCCCAGGCTGGCCTAGAACTTACTGTGTAGTTAAAGCCGGCCTAGAATTTACTGTGTAGTTCAGGCTGGCCTTGGGAACTCATGGTGATTCTCCAGCCTCAGCCTTCAAGTGCAGGGATGACAGATATGGGTAGAGGAGGCGGGGCCGTTTTATTCACCCGTGTCTTCTTTTCCTCCTTAGAATCTCACAAATTACGATCTGTGCAGCATTTTGCTTGGGACGTCAACGCTCTTTGTCTGGGTTGGAGTCATCAGATACTTGGGCTATTTTCAAACATATAATGTAAGCTTTTAGACAAATCGCGCTCGACACTCATTTCTCTGGGTTCTACCAGCTGCTTTCCCCCCTCCAACCCGCCCACGGCTCTAACTGTTTTCCAGGTGCTCATCCTAACCATGCAGGCCTCACTGCCCAAAGTCCTCCGCTTCTGCGCATGTGCTGGGATGATCTACCTGGGATACACGTTCTGCGGCTGGATTGTCTTGGGACCGTACCACGAGAAGGTGAGTGGCAGCAATTCTTCCTGCACCGAGGGACCCTTCGCCTTGAGCCTCTGGCACTTACCTCCCCCACTCTTCCCCAGTGAGCCCCCCTGACGTCAGTGCCCAGAGAACTTTCTTCTCTACTTCTCTGCTTTCTCCTTTTGAGGGGACTTTAGGATGTAGAATCAAGAACTACAGGAGATGGAAAAACACCCCTCTCATAGTAGTCTGGGCTTGGCGGAGTAGTCAACCAGCTGATTAGCAATGAAAACTGCACCTGAGCTCACTGTTAGCCAAACTTAAACTATAAGGAGAGCACGGCAGGATCTCTCCAGTGGGAAGTGTCGGGCTTGGCATCCACACTGGCTGAGGAGAATGGAGAGGAGTGACAGCTCTATCTACCGGGCACGAGCATCCATCTCTCTTGAAAGGAGCTCACATCTGTGAGGGTGGCTTTGACCAAGCTTCAGGTCTCCATCTTAACAAAGGTCAGGATCAGAGTCTCTAACTGTTACTTCCCTTCAGCGTCATAAGTCCAAGATGGTCGGGCTGACAGTCAGGCATGGTATGATCCCAAGAGCTTTGAGGAAGGAGGAGTGCTGTGAGTTCAAGGCCAGCCTGGACCGCAGCGAGCCGGGGTCGTAACTGATTGACAAGAGCATCATGGGAGGAAACAGGGAGGCTGTGTTCCAACCCGAACAGCAACAGGAGCTGTTGCATCTTCCAGTGTTTCTTCCCCAGTCTCCCGGCTGTTGAGACACAGCAAAAATGACAGCAGTTAGCACCTGTTACCAGTGGGATGGGTGCACAGCATTCCAGGGTCTCTCTGTGCCCCACACAGCCCCGTCATGCTCACACCGGTGTCTTCAGGAGAAACGAGGCAGAGAGCACAGGATTTCCTCCGAATTTGTATTAACCCTAAGTTCTGACCTTGACATTAACGGAGGTATGGTTGGTAAGCTGTTCACGGGGTGATACGTGCCCAGACCCTCCCCCACATCCTACTCAGTCAAACCCCAGCTTGAAACACCCGGGCTCCCCTCTCTGTCACACTTAATGTGTTCAGAGTCCCGATTATTCTTCCTGGGAAAAACAGCCTAATGAACAAGGGACAGCCTGTGGCTTAAGAGTAAACCTTGATGAGCCTGGTGAGTTTTCTGTTCCGTGTCACTCTTTGAAGGTGACTCATAGGTAACAGTTGCTCTCTAACTCTAACGGGGAGAGCTCACTGTCTGACCAAGGCCTGGAGACTGCGTTTTTCTTGCTGTTGCTTGCCTCCTGCTCCTGGCGCGCCCCCACCTCTCTGTCACTAGAGGGCACTGTTGCACCGTGTGGAAGAAATGCTGAGCCTAACCTGGGTTCCATCAACACATTGGCCCCAAGACAGTCAGTCAGACGACTGGTCCTATGTCCTTTGTCACTCGTTTCTGGCTGATCTTCCATCCCTCACCATTATTCTGGAAGGCTCTCAGTTAATACTGTTTGAAGTTCATGGGATGGCTGCTATTTTTGCTTTTTCCTAGGCTCATTTGCTGTCCAAGTTTTTTATCATCCTTGCCCTGTTTACCACACATCCCTCTTAGCCCCCGCCCCTGACTCTGTGATAAAATGCCCAATAGACAAACTTGTAAGGGAGAAAGGTCTATCTCATGGTTTCAGTCCAGGACCACTTAGCCCTGCTGCCCTAGAGACTGTGACCAGGCAGAGTGCATTGCGGCAGGACTACATAGAGGGGACCTGTTTCCAAAAAGGGAAGAGGAAACAGGAACAGCTGGATTCCAATCACTCCTTCAAGGCACGCCTCCAGTGGGCGTTACCTCTTCAGGGTACTGCCCCCAGTGGGCGTTACCTCTTCAGGGGTACTGCCCCCCAGTGGGCGTTACCTCTTCAGGGTACTGCCCCCCAGTGGGCGTTATCTCCTATGGGTGTCTAATGGTGCCGCGGTCTGGAGATCAAACCTTTATCACACGGGCATTTGGGAGACATTTTGAGGCTCCAGCTCCAGCTCCTCATCTTCTGTCCCTGTGCGGTGATACCTTCCTTTACGGAGAGTACGAACCCTAAGCCATTTTCTGTGGTTACCCAGATGGCAAATTGCAGCGTCAAACCCGGCCTGCCCAGCCTCAGTAATCATGCTTTGACCAATAATACCCACTGGTGCTTTTTTTCTTTTGTATTGTCTGATGCAAACCATTATGAAAGGACATCCAGTTTGATCTGAGAAGCAGCCTGTGCTTGTACCTCAACTGTAAGACAATCAGTTGTGTCCCTCTGATGTGTGTTAAGATCACCTGCTGGAAAACTGGCCACTTGCTCTGAGAGCCTGACGGCGTCACCGTACGTTCATCTGTGTCCTTCCAAAGAGTGTGGGAGGAACTGGGGTGCTCCGGGCCAGCGCTGTCCAAAGAACACGGAATGCAAGCCGCGGATGCAGCCCTTGTGCCCATGTCACACTATTCCAATATCTGTATTAAGCTAAGGAGGAGCAGGACGGAACTGATTTTAACTATGCATCCTGTCAAGCCTGGCAAAGCCCGGATCCTAGCTTTGGCTCATAAGCAATGTAAGATGCCTCAGCGCCTTCCTCCTGGCTCTTTTGTCCTCTTTGAAGTCTCGCGGTTTTGGAGCCATTCACATGTCTCATCCTAGTTACTGAAGATGCTTCTAGAGACAGGTTCTCAAGTAGACCAGGCTAGCCTCAGACTTGCAATATAGCAGGGGATGGCCTTGAACTTCTCATCTTCCTGCCTCTCCCTCCCGAGTCCTTGGATTGCAGGCATGTATCGCTGTGCCCTGTTTATGCAGGACTATGGTTCAAATCCATGGATGCCCGTGTTGGTAAGCACTCTGCCTACTGAACAACATACCCAAACATCTCAGTTTTACAGACTGCGCGTCACATGCTGGACATCCACACGTGGTGGGTGGCTACAGTTCTGGGCGTGTTCTTCACTTGTGCAAGCTTCCCTTCACCTCCCTCAAAGGGAGGGGATACCCAGTATCTCCAGTCGATGGCATTGTGCTCTGGTCAGACTGATAGTCTGGGAGCGTAAGTGGCTGAGTTTGCTCAGTAAACGCACAGGCCAGCGGGTGAAGAAATCAGCCTGACTGATGCTGCCCCATGATGCTGCTGTTTTAAATTGGAAATTGGAAAATTTTGCCGCCCCCGGCCGCACCACCCCCAGCCTAGACATCTGCTAGAATGTTCAGGTTATGCCACGAGCCATCGAATCAGAGCCACCCGAACCCCGAGCAGCTGAGCATCGTGGCCAGCATTCGCTAGTCGTTTGAGAATCACAGCAGCCTGCAGTGTGGAAACCATTCTTCGCTTAAAGACACAAGCTAACAGATGCTCTGAAGGGACCGTGTCATGAACATCCTCACTTGATGGGAATCAGTGCCCCAGATTCCTTAGCTTCCTGCCTTCCTGCCACACATCTGGTCACAGTGATTCAACTCAGGAACAAAAAGTGTCACATCGATGTCCATTTCCAGCACTAATGGACTTTGGCACCATGCTCCTTGAAGACGTCTGGGCCCAGAGAGCTAAAGACTGCCGATGATCTTCCAAACCTCGTCTTGAATTATTAAGCACTTCTCTAATGTGGCTTTTACATTTCCTGTCTCCAGGGGACTTTTTTTTCTTAAACTATGATGCATGAATAATCGTTTTTGCATTGTCCCCATTTTACAAATAAGAAGAACAAGGCATTAAGAAATTATTGCACTTTGCTGACGCCATGGGCACAATCCTGAGATTTCCAAGGCTTCTGGTCTTGCCCATACACTTCGCTTCTTTAAAATAATCACGAGCCAGCTGAAACGATCAATCTAAATATTCTAAATAGAAGGCAGAGACTGTGACCCCTTACTCTTCAAGTTTCCAGTGTCAGCCGCTCAGCAAGTTTGCCTCTGGAGATGGTTGATCTGTCTCCAGGTTAATCTGCACGATCACCCTGCCTAGATTGAGAATTGTCTCAGAGACATGCCTCCAGGCATGAACATTTGGGCCTTCCAGAACATTCCAGCAGAGGGGGAAGGGCTCATCCTGAATGTGGGTGGTACCAGCGTAATGATCAGAACTCAGAATGAGTAGAATGGGGAAAGGAAGAGAGCCAGGGGAGTGTCCTGACATTGTCGTCCCACTGAGATGTGAGCAAGAGGTTGTACACTCCCACTGCCCCGCCTTACTGCCACGATGGATTGGATATCCTCCTCAAGCCACGAGCAAGGTGACCCTCCCTCCTTTCCAGCTAGACGTGGGGGCTTGCCGTTCTTAGGAGGCTACTCATGTGCTGTGTAACTGGGGACGCTTTAGTACTTGACCATTGGCCTCTTTTATGCTCGTGTGTTTGGAGTCTGGCCACTTAATGGACATTGGTTATAATCTGTTCTTGCGGTAGAAAAATGAGCCAGGACGCTAGTTACTTTACTGGGTCTTTGCTTGAACCTGGTGAGTTGCAACAGGTCTCCTTTGTCCACAGAGGGAGAGATGAGAGGGTTCTGGATACACTCATGTTGAGATGGGCATCACATTCATACTGAGAGTGTGTGTAGGACAACACGCGTGCGATGTGGTGTTTGCTCTCCAGCTGAGGTGTGGAAATGCATTTCAGGGCAGTGAGAAGACAGCCCTTCCATAGTCTCTGAAGTTCTTGCTGACAGTGGAGCAGTGGCTGGAGCTGGCAAGGCCCTCTGTCCCCGAGCAGACTTTGAGGTGGCCCTTGAATGTTGACTTTGTTTGACACAGAGAGGAAGGAAGGCTATATGAGATGAAGAGACTAAGTCTACCAGGGAAGTGTTTTATGGGGGGGGGGGGGAGCTAAGCCCCAGTGTTAATATTGACAAGCAGGAGCCGTGAGGTGACACGGAATAAGGACTTACTAGAACCTTCTGTGCTTACGCTTCCCGTTTTCATGGCCACAAGCAAGAGAAATGCCTTTGAAGCTGTCTCTGTGAGGTTTGGGGTTCTTGCTTGCTCTTTTCAGTTTGGGTTATGGGAGGGTGGGGGCGGGGACTGGCAACACAAAAAAATATTTCCCCAGAAGTTTCCGGAATAAGCCAGCATTTGCACTGGCATCGGAATGGAAGAGGACCAGGTAGTGGGGAAGGCTGGCCAAGTCAGCACAAAGTGGAATGTCCCCGATTGTCTTGGCACAGATGTTTCTTTTGGTTGGGGGTTGGAATCAGTTACAGACAGAGGGATTTGAAAGGAAAGCCCTTTTCTTGGGTAGGGTGATGGGTGGTTCATTTTGTTACCTGTAAAGTGACAGCATGTCCCTCCTCTCTCATGGGGAGATGTCCCAGATGTTTATTGAGGCCCTGGGTGTTCCCAATGCTCAATTAATGAACACAGAGACCCTGACCCCCTAATGTCAGAGTTTGATCAAAATTTCTGTCTTTTGTTTATTTAGTCATTGTTGCTCCATGAGTTTTCATATTCATCTATTATTTAAACCCCTTGCCCTTGGGACGTGTTTATTAATAGTATGCAGTGTGTTTTAGTGGAGGTGGTAGCAGCTTGATAGCTTCTCCAAGCCAAGATGACGGGTTGTGGGTTCTGGTGATACTCTGTGTTAGCCTTGGGTCAGAGCTTAAGCTCTGCATTCACACCCTCAGCTGAGCCTACTGTCTGAGTTCCCACCTCAGATGTACTGGCTCTAAAATTGTCTGTTAAAAGCCTATGAGCAGTACTTTTTCTTCTATGGCTAACAAACGAGACTGAAGAAGGAGTTTGCTCTGGCTTACAGTTTGAGGGTACATTTCACCACAGTGGGGAGGTCGTGGTGGTGAGAGCGTGAGGTGGCTGTCACGTTGCACTTGCCGTCAGGAAGCAGAGAGCGGTGGATGCTGGTGCCTAGCTTTCTCCTTTCCATTCAGTCCTGGGAATAGATAGTGCATTATTATTTTGGTTATAATGATTATAAAATATTGTAATATAGATACACACATATATACATATACATACATACATGCATGCGTGCATACATACATCCACCTATATATAGGATGGGTCTCCCCACCTAAGTGTAACTGCTCTGGGACCTCCTCAGAGACCTGCTGGAGGTGTGTCTCCTAGGTAACTCTGGATCCCGGCACGTCAACCATATTCACCATCACATGATCCCAGCCCTGACCCTTATCCTTCCTGCAGATAGACTTTCTCCAGAGTCTCTTTTCCTGGTTAGACTCTCTGCCTCACCTGGACTCCTAATGTCACCTTTGACTGGCACCCGCCCCCGGGCTGCTCCTGCTCTAGGAGATCTCCCTTGTGCCGTTAGTCTTTAAAGACGCATGCGTCAAATTGCATCACTCCCATGGCTCAGATGTCACTCACTCAAGCCTGCTTGCGAGCTGGATTGAACCTGATGTACGCCCGTGTCACTCAGGGCCTCTGCAATTCGTCACAAACGCCTCTGCTCAGCCTCTGCTGTGTCTCAGCATCAAAGGTCCCCCCAGGCACTGTCTCCATCGTCACTGACTGCAACCTCTTCCTCCCCTTGCTGAGAACTAGTCCAGTGCATCCCTGACCTTGTATGCCCCACCCCACAGGGTCTTGATGTCTGTCTTAGCTGGGGCCTGTCCACTTAGCAGGAAAGTGTTCTTCAGTGTGGTTGTGGAGACCGATAAGACCACTTAGGAAAACTTTGATCCCATGTTGTCTTAACCACTTCCCTACGTAGCTGGCTGCAGGATCCAGACGCTACGGTTCTACCAAAGGTAAAAGCAGCTAGAAGAGGACCCGCTGACTCCAGCTCCCCGCTCCTTAACCGCGCAGCACCCGGATTCAGGAGTTCCTTTGTGTTTGCCCCTGCAGTTTGAAAACCTGAATATAGTGTCCGAATGCCTGTTTTCTCTGATCAACGGTGACGACATGTTCGCCACCTTCGCTCAGATCCAGCAGAGGAGCACCCTGGTGTGGCTGTTCAGCCGTCTCTACTTGTACTCCTTCATCAGCCTCTTCATATACATGGTCCTCAGCCTCTTCATCGCGCTCATCACCGATTCTTACCACACCATTAAGGTGAGTCACGGTCAGTGTTCGCCACCCCGAGGCACCGTGAACATTGGATGGGGCAGCACGTGAGAAAAGGCTGTAATCTTATTGAGATGCAATTTTATTCAAGCCTTAAAAAGTTGGAAAATTATCCCATGGGTTCTGATGACAGATTTTAAATATGCGCTTGTCTTGGGGTTTCTGTTGCTGTAATGAAATGCCATCGCCAACAGCAAGTTGGGGAAGAAAGGGTTTATTTATTTCGGCTTACACTTTGGCATCTTATTCCACCATTGGAGGAAGTCAGGGGCAGGAACCTGGAGGCAAGAGCTCATGCAGAGGCCATGGGGGTGAGGGATGCTGCGGACGGTACCACCCACAATGGCTGGGCCCTCGCCTGTGAATCATTAACCAAGAAAAGGCCCCAAGCAGAGGCAGGCGATCTCTTTGAGTTCGAGGCCTGGCTGGACTGACAGCCTCCAAAACAATACAGAGAAACCCTGTCTCCAAAAAACAAAACAAAACAAAACAAAAAAAAAAAGAAGAAAAGGCCCCACAGCCAAATCTTTTTTTAATATTTTATTTATTTATTGTGTATACAGTCTTCTGCCTGAATGCCAGGGGAGGACACCAGATCTCATTCAAGGTGGTTGTGAGCCACCATGTGGTTGCCAGGAATTGAACTCAGGACCTCTGGAAGAACAGTCAGAGCTCTTAACCTCTGAGCCATCTCTCCACAGCCAAATCTTATGGAGGCATCTTCTCAGTTGAGGGTCCCTCCTTTCAGATAGCTCTAGTTTGTGTCAAGCTGACATGAAACTGGCCAGCACGGTTCTTGAAACATTTTACCTGTTGCCCTGGTCGAGGCGGTTGGGTTTGGAGGTGTGCTGGGAAAGAGAGGGAAAGGAAGAAAAGTATGATTAATTCAGCAACCAGATGGCTGTTGTTGGCACTGCCAGATGCTCCTGCCCGAGTGGCTACCTGGGACTCAAGACTTCAGGATCAGTTCCTGTAATAGGAGCTGGTTGTCACTCTGGGTAGAGAGTGACGTACCTCCTACCTGGCGATGGGAACGCTCGTAGTGCCCCCCTTCGTTAAGATGAAGAACGGGAAGGTTCCAGCTTTCCTGAGTCATGGTGTACCCCACACCCTCCCTGAGGGTGGGCCCGTGAGGTCCATTTGGAACTCAAGGGAGCTCACTGCCTTCGGATCTGTTATCTCCGCCGTGGATGGCGGTGCTGGCCAAATCACTTCAGGACCAGCGAGCGCCTCAACCACACAAGGCGCTGCCCTCTACTCAGCCCTTCCCAGGCTAACTCAGAAGAAAGCTGTCGGTGATCAGTGTGTGGGATTACGTGTGCATGGCAGTTGGTCCCTGCAGCAGGGTATGTCGGGGCAGACTTGTAGGCTCTTGCCATGAAGATTCATGTCCTTGACATGGTAGTGTCCTTGTGTGGGGCAAGCATCAGTGTTGAGCTGGATGACCTTACTGAGCATGACTGGAAGCTAGGGGTTTTCCGTGTGCTGAGAGAAGTCTGCCCCGTCCCTCTCTGTGGTCAGCGTGCAGAGAATGGGTGTTGTCTGTTAGGTTCTAGGTGGGCAGTGTGCAGAGTGAAATTTATCTGCTGTTCTCATTATTAACACTCTGGCTTTGTGATTCTAACTATTTCTTTCATTCTTCTTTTCAATTGCACCTCTTCTCTCTTCTCCCTTCCCCAGTGGCTTGTTTTCTGGAGATTTCCTTTCCGTTGTTCTCAGTTCCCAAGGCCTCCCTGGCTTAGCTGTTCTAGAACTGACAGAATGAGTCATCACTGTTCATAGTCCTTCTTGGATCTGAGCTAGTGCTGCGGGGAGTGTCATTTCACAAAGGTGGGTTTGCTTTGTTCACAAAGGAAACAATTTCTCATGCTCTAGAGAGGAGGTAACGGCATTGTGTGCTTTTCAAAAGAAATACCAGCAAAATGGGTTTCCTGAAACGGATCTGCAGAAATTCCTGAAGGAACACAGTGGCAAAGACGGGTACCAGAAAGAGCCACCAGCCTTGCTGTCCTGTGTCTGCTGTCCGAGGAGGTCAGTGTTGTGTGTGGAGCTGGAAGAGAGTCATTCCAAAGTTAGTACTGCGCTCTGAAGTCAGCTCGTGGTGGGAAATAGTTGCTTTTTCTTTTCTTTCCCCCCTAACACAAATTTGTTTGAGAAATGAATTGTTTCTTATAAAACAATGTTCTACGCAACATGGTTGTGTAGAAAGCTTCATGGCATGATTGAAACTCTTAGGGACCTTATAAGTGCCTCTTGAGAAGATGAACTGTGACCCACGTCAAGAGGCTGGCCCCTTAAGGGACCGACAGTGGACTCTGAAGGGACCAGGGGTATTTTGGAGGTGGACTTTCAGGCATGTCAGATACGTTTCTCCCCTCCAACATGTGGTACAAATCATCTCCCTGGACAGATGGAGTCCCGTTGGAGAGGAAGCTGTTGGTGTCTGTCCTAGTTACTTTTCTATTGCTGTGACAAAACACCATGACCAAGGCAACAACATAGAGAAAATCAGAGGTTATTTGAGTGCACAGATGCAGAGGTTGAAGCCACCACGGCCGTCACGGTGGGGAGCATGGTGGCAGGCAGGCATGACACTGGAGCAGTAGCTGCCAGCCACACCCTGATCCACGAACACAAGGCAAAGAGAGCTAAGGCTTTCAAGACCTCGAAACCCCCAAGTGAAACACCACCACCAAGGCCGTACCCCCAAAGCTCCACCAGCTGGGGATTAAGTATTCAGATGGCTGAGCCTATGGGGACAATGTGTTCTTGGTTAGAAGCACGCGTCCGTAGCTCTTCAGTGCTCAGCCTTGCTTGCTGGCTGTTTGGACTCTCAGAGGAATGACAGGGAGCGCACTGACCAGAGTTGTGTGTGGACCAGACGGCGATGGTTTTCTTAGGTGCATCCATCGGTGTTTTCCCCTGAGTTGGGGGTAGGAGTTTTAAAGGTATACTGTACCTATTTTTTTGTTCGTTTGTTTGTTTTGTTTTTTTGAGGAGGATTCTATAATTCAAATTCCCACAGGAAGAGGGGCGATCATATCTATTTATACTCACATGATGTGTGTTTCTGTTAACCAATTCACATTGCATCTTGGGGCTTGCAATGAGGTGATTTGTAACACAAATAATAAAAGACCCAGAGACAGATATTGGGGTTCAAGCTTCAAGCTGAAGATCAGAAAAACAAAGCAGCCAAACCACTAACCCTTACCTCTACCTCAGGCTGAAATGGCTGACCCTGTCTCCATGACTCTCACCGAGCCTCAGACTGCTGCCTCTCCTCAGTGTGGCTGGATAATCAGTGCTTCCTATCCTCAGTGTGACTGGAGAATAAATGTCTTTCTATCCTTAATGCAGCTGGAGAATGAATACCAGCCCTGAGACCCTGTTCCTGTCTTATATACCTCTCATGGGTCCTAGGATTAAAGGCATGAGCTCTGTTACTCTTTTAGACTGATTCAATCTCATGTAACCCTGGGTGGCCTTGAACTCACAGAGATCCGTCTGCCTCTGTCTCCTGAGTCCTGGGATTAAAGATGTGTACCACGACCACCTAGCTCTGTGACTAACTAGTATGGCTGCTTTTGCGATTTTGATCTCCAGTGGCTTTAATAAATCATAAACTATATATCGTCACAGTGACTGAGCACACAGGAAGAAAGTCTAGTAAACATAAAATGAGGTCTTCTGAGTTGTTTTCAAAATTGCACTTCACCGTCTCAGAGCGTCAAATCGTTGCTGTGGATGCCAGGATAAAGGAGAACTAATTTTCTTAGTTGGCAACTACCTCCTAAGGGATGGGAAGGATAAGGCAGGTCTCTTGGGGTTGCCTTGCTATCGTGAAGTTATTATATCAGTGACTCTTCTTGCTACTGTGATAAAATGCCGGTGAGAAACAGCCTAAGGAAGGAAGGGTTTCCTTCAGCTCAGAGTGTGAAGAAATAAAGCTTGGTGACCAGAGCTCGTGGCAGCTGGTCACGCTGCACACACAGCTAGGAAGCAGAAAGAGATAAGCGGGGGTGCTCAGTTAGCCGCCTCCTCCCCCTTTTATTTAACCCATGACCTCAGCCCATGAGATAGGGCTACCCACGTTCAGGAAGGCGGTCTTCCCTTCTCAGTGAAACATCTCTGGAAAGTTCTACCCAGATGAATACATCCCATTCCTCTCCACTTGGTGCCTGCAGCCAGTCAGGGTGGGGCTGGTGGTCTCACAGTCCTCTTCCTGGGCCTCCCAGGGAGGGAAAGGCTTGGCTGATCAGCTGCTGAGCTGCCGAATGTTCCCTGCTGTGAAAGAGTGCCTGGTCCTTATAGCCATCCATAGGCTGTGCTACAGTGAGAGTCCTGAGAGGTGATGGCTGCTTACAGGTTGTTTCCAGAAGCGTCTATCTGAGCCTCAGAGTATGCACATTTCCCTTCAGATTTCACATTTTGCTCATGTAAGCTGTGTGTGTGTCTAGAATGTAGACTATCCCAGTCTTTTTGTAACGGTTTTGGGAGCTGGGATGGGGTAGAGCAGTCGCCTAGACTGAGTAAGGCCCTCAGTTTGACCCTCAGCGCTGCTATACAAGTAATAAGGTTTTAAAAACTATACATGTCGCCGGACGGTGGTGGCGCACGCCTTTAATCCCAGCACTCGGGAGGCAGAGGCAGGCGAATCTCTGTGAGTTCGAGGCCAGGCTGGACCGACAGCCTCCAAAACAATACAGAGAAACGCTGTCTCGTAAAAACCAAAACCAAAACAAAACAAAAACCTATAAATGTCAAGCATGGCTAGGCATGCCTTCCGGGAGGGGAGGCAGAAGGACCAGGAGTTCAAGGTCATCCTCAGCTGCATAGTTTGAGGCCAGACTGATCTACGTAAGACCACATCTAAAACAACAACTACAACAAAACAAAGCTACCCAAACAAAAATTCTTCAGTCAATGCTGTCTTTTTTCTTACATTTCTGTTACAGGAGAGGAAGTGATGACCACTTGATTCTCATTGACTAAAACCCTTCTGCTAATGTCAAGTCCAGACATCTCCTGTGGGAGCGCAGAGAGACCCCGGAGGGAGCAGAAGTTCACTAAAAGATTGTCTTACTGAATTGTGGATCCAGAAGGCGCGGTTTCTGCCAGCTGCTGACCAGAAGTGACATTCCAAGTTACTTTTTATAAATATGGAGGGTAGAGAATAAGCCCCTCCTGAGATTTAATGTAATGGAAGTGTAATAATGAAATTCATCAGTAGTTTGCTCCTTTGTGACATCAAAATGTTGGGATGGAAAAAATATACTAGCATTTCAGAGTGCGTAAACAATATTTAAAGCCAGGTAAAGATATATGTTTATCGCCAGAAAAATATTTGTTTTAAAATGTGATCCTTGGAATTGAAGACATTTGTTAATTCGTGATCAGCACAGAAGTACTTTTGGTTTCAAGACCAAATTAAGGCTTGAAGCTGGAGAACCGGTAAACCATGTAAGGCTGACACTCTGACATTAGCAGAAAGATGTCTGGGAGAATCCAGATCCTGCCTGGTTGTACTGTGAACTTGCTTCTCGGGCAGGCTGTGCAGTGTCCGTTATCACAGTCTGTGGGATGAAACAGAACATCTGGATGTCTCCTCGGTTGAGCTTTCCCTGGTCTATACACACAAGATGAGTGGTGCTAAACTTGGGGTAGCCACCTGTTTCATGAGTCATCTCCACCGTGGTGGGAATTTACCTTTGTCAAGCAAGGAAATGTGGCGCATCCTTAAATAAATTTATTTTCACAACGCCATCTTGCATTATTACTGTGTGCTAACACGCAGCGTCTCTCGACAGCTACCAAGTGGGAGTTTCATATCACACCCCTCCTAACCACTTTGTCCACATGAGAGATCTCTCATTTTTGAACAAGTGTTGGAAGAGCTATGGGGCTTGGTTCATAGAAGAGATTAAGATCACCCTAAACATAGATTCACGGCGTAGCTGAGCTGCCTCGGGGGCCGTGAGGTCTACTGGTGTGGAGTGAAATTGAACTGGCATTTCCCTGGTGTTGTCTTTGCCCCAAGACCCTGGTGTCAGGAATCATGTGTCTTATTCTCCGTCCGCTCCTACCCTTGACTTTATTCGTGTGCTTACATCAAATATGGGCAGAGAAAAACCATACTGTCAATAACATTCAAATTGTAAGCAAGCAAATGACTCGTTTCAGAGTTAGGGTTGCTTCTGAACAGAATAGATTTCCAGTCTGCAGCTGTGATTGTCATATGAACAGAAAAATAATGGTGGTCTCACCCATTCTTGGCTATTTTTTTAAATTGGCTTTCATGGTTCCTTTTTGTTCCAGTTGGCTCAAACACTTCCAGAAAAAAAAATCTCAAGGTCACTGTGGAGACATTGTTAGTCACTTTTCTCACTGTGTTATCTTTTGGATGTCATTGAACGATGTGGTGTGGTGAGTGTTAATAGACAAATTCCTCTCTTCTTTTAGACCTCAACCTGGGGATTTCACTGTGACAGGAGACACATCCTTTCTGCCTCTTAGTTGCATTCTAGACTCTCTAGCTCTGGTGGAAATTGCCCTCTTGGCTTAACAGTGGCACAGCCAAAGCGTCACACTGTACCTTAAGCTTGCTGGCTTGGCATGGCAGAGAAAAGCAGGGCATGGGAGCCCCTTGAGTCACAGTTCCATGCAGCCTGTAGTTTTGGGGCTCTGGACAAGTCACGTTCTGCCTTGAGGTGATGGTGATAAATCCCAGGGCCTGAGATTGGCATTTGGGTCACATAGCCCCTGCGAACTCTTTCCACTCCATCCTCTGCCATGCTTAGGAGTAGATTCCATCCGTTCACGCACGGTGCTGACACAGAACATTCTCCTCCAGAGCTAGTTAGTCAGGGATTTTCTCCTGAGTATCTCTGGGCAGGGCACAGTGTGTCTCCATCTCCCCATGTGCAAGATGGAGACTCTGAAAATTGAGAGTCAAATTAAAGTTTATAGGAAGGGGCACGGCTCTTAATTCTCCACTATCAAGTCATCTTGCTTGGTGTACGAGTGTGCACATGTATTCGTGGCCAGTTGGGGAGATCTTTGTGTTTTCTATGTGATTACTATACACTCCTGGTGGACTTCATTTTGGGTGTGACTTTAGGGGCACAAAAATCCAACTCTAGGTCTGTCCTGGAGACGACGGGTAATTCAACTCTAGAAGCTCACAAGTGACTGTGGAGTGTTCGGCATGAAGCAGTCAAAGTGCCCTGTCACTGGTTACCCAGAGGTCCAGATGAGATGGTAAAGATCCTGAGACTCCCCCAGTCTCCAGTCCTCTATCAGGAGCTTCTGTTTCCTTAGCCAGATGTGCCCAACAGCAAGATGAAGGGCATCTTCATGCTCAGCCCATTTATCCAATGGGGAAGGTGTCCAGGAGGTGAGCTGTCCTTCCCCGGGCAGATGTGCAGGAGGTGAGCAGCCCTTACCCAGGCAGATGTGCAGGAGGTGAGTGGCCCTTACCCAGGCAGATGTGCAGGAGGTGAGCGGTCCTTCCCCAGGCAGATGTGCAGGAGGTGAGCGGTCCTTACCCAGGCAGATGTGCAGGTGAGCCGTCCTTCCCCAGGCAGATGTGCAGGTGGTGAGCGGCCCTTCCCCAGGCAGATGTGCAGGAGGTGAGCAGTCCTTCCCCAGGCAGATGTGCAGGAGGTGAGCGGTCCTTACCCAAAGCCCCCACAGCACAATTTTCATTGTGTGACAAACAGCAAAAACTTAATGGTTTCTTCAGACTTAGAATTGAAGGCACAGCCAGCCCATCATGGAGGAAAAGACAAGGCGTGACTACAGGAACTGCTCTTGGCTATGACGGCAGAAGCACGAGCCTGCTTGTTCACACACAGCTCCAAGGCGAAGCAGAGAAAGGGGAAATGCTCCCTCTCTCCCCGTTTCCAAAATCAGTCCAGAACGATGGTGCTGCTTACATCCAGGGTGGGCCCTGCCCCTCAGTCCATTCTTTCAGCAAATGCTCGCACAGTCATACCAGGCGTGACTCATTATCAACAGCAAGTTGATAAGATTAACTATGACAAGCTCTTCGTCACATTCTACCAGAGTCCCCGAGGAGCCCTGGCCCATTGAAAACCTAGGCTTGCAGCCTTGAGCACGGGAAGTCCTTGGCACAACTTCTTATCAAGGGGCAAACAGCAGTCCCGAGCGCCTTCACCTAAAGATAGCCTGCCTCTGGCATTGCACCAGGAGTCCAAAGGTCACTAGTAAAGTGTGGCAGGAACTGTCCTCTGGTGCTGGCCAGAGTCCTTTCCTGACACTACAGGGACCGTGACCCCTTACCCGTGGCAGCCCTTTATTGCAGTAACCTTGGGCCAGCAGGATTCACTGTGAATTAATTCCGCCTTTATTTTCATGTGACTTTGGCAAATTTTAATTTGCTCAGTCTGACTTAGAGTTTGAACATTTCAACTCTGTGTCACTACCAAATACCTAGAACCTCCCGTGGTTCAGAGCATATGCAAAGACCTCTTGTGTGACAGGGTGAAGCGGACCCACAGATTACCCCAAGCACAGAAGTCTGTGTGCCAGCCTGAAGGAAAGGCGCACCACAGCCTGGGAACTGGAAGTGTTTTCTGTGTCACTTGAGATTCCCAGGCTCTCAACATGGATGGCATCTGGGTCAGCTTGGTGATGGTATGACCTGTGCATTCTCAAAGGGCCCTGCGCTTGGCTTAATGGCCTGCCATGCACAGTCTTGGAATTCTTGGTGTAATTCAGACAAGAGGCCCTATGTGTTCATTTTTCGGTGGGTTCTGCAAGGGTAGGAGTTAATCTTGATATGACTTACTCAATTTAGATTTGAATTTAATTTTATTTTGATTGCGAGCCTAGTCTTTAATGACTGAGCCATCTCTCCAGCCCTTAATTTAATTAAAAAATACACATTTATCTGATTTGTTTTGTACATTTCTGTGTGCAAGTACTCCCAGAATCTAATGTTGGACCCCGGGAAATGGAGTCGCAACCATTTGTGAGACACCCAACAAAGACACTGGGAACCACACTAGGGTCTGTAAGAACAATAGATGCTCTTAACTGCCAAGTCACCTCTCCAGCCCCTGAAGCATGCTTTAAACAATTTCTCTTTTCGTTCTCTTGTGATAACATTTCAGAAGCATGCTTGTAAGAAAGGATTAGAAACCTAGGCTTGTATTTGTATTCATCGTTGTTTTGTTTTTGAGGCAGGATCACACTGTGTAATCCAGGCTGACCGGGAACTAACTCTGTAGTCCTGCATGAACTTGGAGTTATAGAAATCCCCCTGCCTCAGCCTCTTTGAGTACTAGGATAACAGGTAATGTGCCATGCCAAGTGAACCTTTTAATTTAACTATATACTAGCAATAAGTGAATTGGAGTTGGAATTGCATTTTAAAACAACAAACTTCACTTTTCAGGGAAGTTTTAGGGTCACAGCAAAATTGAAAGTGAAGCGAGTTCTCACAGCCTCTCTTCTCACACAGGTGCCCAGCCTCTCCATTTACCAGGCTCCGATGACGGAATGGTACATTGGATGTCAACCCCATCTGTGAAACTGCATGGGTGCACTGTCATCCGCAATGCATTGTTGCATTAGGCTTTACTTTTGGTGGTGTTCTATGGACTTTTGAGCATGTGTGATAGTACCCACTGTTGGACATTCATGCGAATGGGTAACTGTAATAGCATCACGGTTGGACATCACACAGGGTGGGTGACTGTGTGATAGCGTCACCGTTGGACATCACACAGGGTGGGTGACTGTAATAGCATCACCGTTGGACATCACACAGGGTGGGTGACTGTGTGATAGCGTCACCGTTGGACATCACACAGGGTGGGTGACTTGTGATAGCATCCCTGTTGGACATCACACAGGTGGGTGACTGTGTGATAGTACCCACTGTTGGACATCACACAGGGTGGGTGACTGTGTGATAGTATCACTGTTGGACATCACACAGGGTGGGTGACTGTGTGATAGTGTCACCGTTGGACATCACACAGGGTGGGTGACTGTGTGATAGCATCACCGTTGGACATCACACAGGGTGGGTGACTGTGTGATAGCGTCACCGTTGGACATCACACAGGGTGGGTGACTGTGTGATAGCGTCACCGTTGGACATCACACAGGGTGGGTGACTTGTGATAGCATCACCGTTGGACATCACACAGGGTGGGTGACTTGTGATAGCATCACTGTTGGACATCCATGCCTGTGCTCTCCCTGCTGTAAACACCACCTACTCTGCTTGGTCCTTCCTGCCTCCTTCTTTCCCCGGTCTTCATAACTGCAGCCCCATGGTCTCTTCCTCTTGGGGTGTGTAATCTGGTTGAGCTCCCACAGTCTATCACCCTTTCTAGTTGGTCTATTTTACTCACAAGTGTTAGCCACATCCCCCTGGGTCTTCTTATGGAGCTGCTTATTCAGTCTCCTGGGTGGAGGTGCATGAGGGGAAACTCAGTTGGTAGAGCCCTTGCCTAGCCTTTGGGACGTTCTGGCTTTCATCCTCAGCTCCAAATAAACCAAACCCAATGTCAACCCAGCACTCTGGAAGTAGAAGCAGGAGAATCAGAAATTCAAGGTCCTTGACTACGTAATAAGCACATACACAGTTCTGGAAAGTGTGAACCTTTTCTCACAAACGCAAAACAAACAAACCAGCAAAATCAAATCCAACCGAAACAAGGCACCACTACCACCAACAGACAGACAGAAATGTAATAATAACACCATCTTTCATGTCCACACAAA